AAGCATGGAATACTTCACTCTGCAGTGCAAAGTTGGCTCTCTGCATTTTGCCGTCCTATCAGTGGGAGCCCTGATATGTGAGAGCACTGGGGTCTTCAGGCATCCTCTCAGAATGAGCACTGCAATGCAGTATAATGCAGCTTGTGTTTGTTCACAAACTACATGTTTCTTATCTGTCAGTATGTTTTCCCTCGTCTCCACACCATGGATAGTATTCATGCCCACCAAAACACAACACAACACACACACACACACACACACACACACACACACACACACAAAATAGCAACAAAACAAAATAGCAAAAAAGCAAAAAAACAACCTAATCTGTTAAATCTGTTAATTTAGAGGACCCAGTTTGCCAGCAGACAAGAAATGCAAGTAATTATTTCAAACACAACTATTTTTTTCTTTTCTTTTCCTTTCCTGCTTTCTTAGTTTTTTGTTTTGTTTTGTTTTGTTTTGTTTTGTTTTGTTTTTCAAGACAAGGTTTCTCTGTAACTTTGAAGCCTGTCCTGGAACTCACTCTGTAGACCTGTAGACCTGGCTGACCTCAAACTCACAGAGAACCGCCTGCCCCCACCTCCTGAGTGCTGGGATTAAAGACAAACACAACTATTTCTTAAACCTCCTTTAGCAAGAGAAAAGTAAATGATGACAAATTTAAGATATCACACTAGTAACTCTCCTAATCCTCCAACTCATTAAAAAATGCCAAGTACGTTTGAGGGATATAGTAGTCATTGTTTGTTAGAAGCTACATTTAGTGTGCTATACTCTACAAATCTCACGCTTTTATAATTTTCTCCAGCCTTCCATATCCTAACCATTCCTCTAGGTAATACTTCTTCCATGGAGTCTGCTCTTGTGATCCTTAGCTTTAAGGCCATAGAGAAAGAATGTGGAAAAGTGTAGTTTCCTAGGGCTGTTCTCGAGGCTCAACTATAAACCTGTCCTCCCATCCATGAGATAATTCATTAAACTTAAAATAATTCTCCTTTTTTAAATTACTGGAGACTGTGTGAGGTTTTATTGTTTTCAATCAAAGTATTTTTGAATGACAAATGTGACAAGTTATATTTACTAATTATTTTATGAGCTTTTCTGTACTCAGCTATTGGATAAATAATAAATAGTTAGACTGTTCAGTCCATGTAACAGTCATGAACTACAGAGTGTATGGGGAATTGAAATACAGGTACTACAAATGTACATGTGAAATCAGTATAAAATACACAAACAAGTTGAAAATTGCATTTTATAAAGATGTGTACCTGTATGTTTATTACATATTTTAAATGATATACATATTGGATTAGATATAATATTAAAATAATCTCACAACCTTTTTAAAAACTTTGCTAGATATGTATCAAAATCAAAGATTACAATATAGTTGCAGTGTACTTATGATAATCCTAATCTTCGAAGATTTGTTTTTCTTAAATCAGGAACCACGGCAAAGAATAAATATGATTATTCCAATGAATTCTAGAAATTTTTAAAAGTTTGTTTACAGTAGGTTGATATTTAAGATGCCCAGAAAACTTCATGTGAATATTATATTAAGTAGAACAGTTAGGCAGGGTTCTTGCATTCAGATAAACAAGGAGTCGGAGCTATTCTGCTTGCTGACCAGGGACGCCGGCTTGTGAAATCCCAGTTGGAGTAATCTCTGCCAAGGAGCAGCCTTTAGGTCATAATCTTCCCAGAGCAAGCAGACAGCTATGGTGGAACCTTCCTGCTCACACTGTCAACATTACGTGACTGACATGCATCTAGAACTTCACTAGCTCCTGGCAGGTGTGTGAGTAGCCAATGAGGTTACTACAATGCACTAATCTAGAGGAAGGATGTTACCGAGGCTGTGGCTTTCAACAGTTCATCTTTGCCGTGGTCCTCTCTCTCCATTTCTCTGCATGTCAACTGCTTCTGAGGAAAGTCTCCTCTTCATCCGCTTGTTCCCACAACCATGACACCCCACCTCATCTCAGGCCCAAAGTGATGGAGTGCTGACCACAGTCTCAAACCACTAGAACATTTTCTTCTTTAGATGACTTTTCCCTAAGTGTACCGCAGCCACCTACATGTGCTAAAATGAATTGATTGCCAACTCATACCATACTTACTTTGTATCTTTGCAGGTTTTTCTTCTGAAAAGAGAATATATATATATTGTTTTACTAAGATAATAAAGCAAGAGACTGAAGCACTTGTCAATGGTCTAGGTAAATGTATCTAATGTCGGTGGGTTCCTTCCCTACTGATTTAACGAACAAATGTAGCTTTCCATCGCCTGTGAAATGTTTCTTTGAAAAACGCAGTCTCTTTTATAGATGACGATATTCATGCTTTCAAAGAAGCCATTCTTCATCTCAACTGCCAAACAATTTAATTTTTTAAACACTCTTACTAAAATCAGCAGGATCTTTTAAAAATTATTTTGGTTCAACTGTAATTACAGATAACTTGAATAAAATTACTTTGCATGATGAAGTTTATGTACACACTTTATAATTTCTAAACTACATGAGATATATTGAGAATTATTTCCCTTTCAAAGATGAATAAAGGCAAGTGGCTGCCAATTACATTAAGAAACTAATGACTCTGTAAATGCATCATACAAATTGGATTTTTTCTTTTTTCCTTTCAGTGAGAGATGATTATTTGAAGTAGTACATCTCATTTACTGTATGTTTCTACCATAAAATACACAGTGAGATGATTATTCAAAATGCCAGAAGATAGGCTTTTTTTCATAGGAAAGGAGATGGGCCATATATTCCTTCAACCACCATTTGTTAAATTTAAGTGACCAGGCTCCAAAATACAATGTAAATGGAATCAGCATTACATTTGTCTATTTTGAGATCTATACTGTTTCTAATACAGAATTGAGAATTGCCAGTTAACAGAAATACAATTTGTAAAGAAAAGAGTTTTAATTGGGAGAGTTGTCTTAAACAGAAAATCACAACACTAAATAACTTAAAAGTCTTCAGTAATAATTCTATTTTAAAAATTCTGTCATGTTTAAGGGGATAGAACCTATAAAAGACCCAAATGGAAACCAAGATACAGTGAACTACCCTTAAATGAAGGAACAAGTGATGCTTTCTCAACTCCCGGTGACTTGGAGTCATGCTTTGACAGTTCTTGACGTGAATTAACAGTTCTTCTCCACTGAATGCTATGGTACTTCTCAATTATAGTAAGTATAAGGCAAAAAGGATCTAGGAACATCCTGCCTGTTGAATGTACAGGCTACAACAAGCAACAATGAGACATGATGGAAACCAGGGCTCACCTTCCTCTCAGTGAGGAACCACCTGTTTATTACAAAGAAAAGAAATGGCTTTTTGTTTGTGTTTCTCTACTATCCTGGTGGGACTGGCCTAAAATAATGTCACCTCTATTATGTAATTAATAAGGTTTATTTGTAGTTTTGTGATAGTATCACCCAAACACATAACTTTATTTTAAAGATCAGTGTTCTGCTATTTTCATGATGGCATTTTCCAGTTTATTGCTAAGTTAAACTAGTTTAAAAGTCAACACATAAATGACATGACATACATATGTGATGATAATTTTCTTCACAATAAAATACAACACAGTTGAAACTGTTTTAAACTACTCTAAGTATATAAACTTTGATATTATTATACAGCTAAAGCTTTTGGTAATGGAGAAATATTTTTCTTCTAGCATGACTTAAAATATTTCACTGAATCTAGGAACTGATAATATTTCCTTCCTAATTTTTCTGCCAGATTTTCTGTCTGTATCAAAAAAGCATATCTACAAATCTTCTTAAAAACATTAGTGTTAATAATAGTATCTAATACCATATGAATTTCCATAGCAACAGAGAATATAAATATTCATAAAGTTCAAGTTTACCTTTAGTCACATTGTTGCCCTGAAGATTTTCTTGTCTTGTGGGAACTGTTTATTAAAAATATATTTTAAATATGAAACTTTAAAATAACTTTGCATTAAATAATTGTCTCGTTTTAAATATTAAATTTATGAGATTCAAAATTGCAATATTATAACTATTTTCTCAAGGTAATTCTTAGGAATTTCATCTTATATTGAACTAATGTCTAATGAGAATAACCACTAACAAGATAATCATTCTACTGGTACAAAGACATTTACAGTAGTAATGCAATTATTTAGAGGATTCGTATTTGTGGAAAACACGTCACCATAAGCACACAAATTCGAATAAATGAAACATAATTTTTATTATTGGCAATCATGCTTCCCTCTTGGTCTGGGATGTATTACTTAGACAATTACTTCCTCTGTAAAATTTCCGAATGAATATACTAGAACCAATCCTGACTATATGATGCTAGAAGCTTACTAATGGAAACCTTACTTAAACTTAATTTTAAGAGGAAAGGATAATGGTCATACTGTGTCCAGATTGTCCAGCAGTGGTAAAATAAATGAATGCTTAATTTTAGCAAATTATCTTTCATTCATTAGTCATTTTTTACAATGACATCAGTACATATTCACCAATGATTTCTTTAATCAAAGCAATGCCTTTAAAATGCACACACATCAATTTTAACTTAAAGATGATATAAATAAAACATAAGTCAAATGAGTTTAGCTTCAAAATTTTGACTTATTTTTACCTTTTTCTGATAATGTATACTTATTTTTAGTGTTCTTTAGATAAAAAAAATCAATCAAGGTCTTAAATAAATTTTTTATTCATACATCCTGGAGTTTGATAGTGAATTTTGAGTCATCAATATCCACAATTCAAAAGTCATATGTATGGAGATTATTTATCAATAACAGGTAGAATTTGCAGCATTCTAAATCTCTACTCCTTTAATACTTAAGAATCATGTGAATGCTATAAATTTTCAATGTTAAACTTAAATTTTGATATAATCAATAATGTAGTGCCTATATTTTCATAAACTGCTTTTATTTTTTGAGAAATTCACATATAAATTCGCTATGTTTACCTTTACTTTCCTTTTCAGATTTTTCAACTTTCTTCTTCCCTAGGGAGAATAAAATGACATACAATAATCAACTTATGAAACATAATGTTTTAATTCACTTTTGGAAAGTTGAAGTTGAGACTTGAGCCCATGAGAAGAGGTGGGTAAAATCAGGTCTGTTCCATTTCGAGATGAGTAGGAACATTCTATAGATAAAAAGAAGTATGCTAATTATATTTAGCTACCTGTATGTACAATGCCCTTTCATTTTTCTTATGTATTTTGAAGAACAAGACTATAGCATTAAAAAGATAAATTCAAAATAGAAACAGAAAAAAGTCTAAATTTTCATTGTTGCTGTAGATAATTAAGATTTGACGTTGCATAGCAATTTCTCAAGCAAATGAAAGTAAACAATTAAAATTCCCTGGAGAGGGCAAAATAGATTGTAGAAGTAGATTAGCAATCTATGGTGTTGACTGGCTGATGGTTTTCTTTTGTATGTATTTTACACAAGAGCAAGAAATAATGAGGGGAAACTAAATATATGGTAGGAATGTGAAGTACGGTTTCCATTCACCCTTAAAAGTGGGTTTGGAACATATGTGTTTTTCTGCAGATGAGAACACCAAGCAAGAACTTGGGCCTGTTAATGACACATAGTTAAAGAAAGACACAGGTTTCAACTGTTTTTTCACAATTAAATATTACTTCATTTCAGAGATGAAATATTTACCTGAGTCTGTGACTTCTGATGTTCCCTCTTTAGAAGAAATATTTACAAAAGAAGAAAATAGAAGAGAATAATGTTTATTTCAGTAGGTAATTGAACTTTATTTTCAGATATTCTTATTAAACCAAAATAGATAAAATGCTCAAAATGACAAAGAAATAATTTGAAAATTAGTGGTACTTCTAAAATATGATGAGATATCTACCTTGAAAATGGATTTATGGTACAAAGTAAACCATATAAAATTACAACATAAACCTTAAAACTTCATTGCATCAATGCTTAACTTGATCTCATAAATGCATGTATTATCCATTAACTTTTATTAAGTTCCCATATATAAGATGCTGTGCCATGGGCAATGAAGGGGAGCTATAAAAAGCAATGAAAACTAAAACAGTAACTGACTTAGCACCTAGTGATTTAAAGTGACATTTGCCTTTACCTGTAGCATCGCTTAGACACTGTTCTTTCTTGTTTAGTTAATTCACAGACTAATAATATTCTAAATCTTACTCGGAAAGTTTTCTTATCTTTAAAATTATATGAAAAGATCAACATTTACTGAAAATAAATCTTTCAAACCATAAAAACATACTTCTTAATACATTAAATTCTAGAAAATATGTATTTATTATCAATCCTCTGTAAAATTCTGGAGGATACTTCTAGAGTTTAGGAAGATATAAAATATTTTTACTAATGACTATAATATGTTAATAATAATAATAATGAGTTCATAAACAAAATAGTGTTTTCATATGGCAAGCATTCTATTTTGACTTAAAACCCTTTCTTTTGGTAATATTCTTTACATCAGAAGTGATCAAACAGACTAAAAATGGAAACAATTTTCTCCATTGTAAGGGCAGTATTTCAGGAACCAAGAAGTGACCTCTCCTTTAATATTCAATGTTTGAAGTTGAAACTGGAAATTTTCCATGCCAATATTTTTTTATTAAATTTTAAAAATTATTTTACATACCAACCAGTTTCCCCTCCCTTCTCTTCTCATGTGTCCTCCTCCCACCTACCTTCTTCCCCTCATCCACTCCTCCTCCTTCTCCATTCAGAAAGAGCAAGGCCTCCAATGGGAGTCAGCAAAGCATGGCATATCAAGTTGTATTTTTAAAGAATATCATAGTTCTTTCAAGAAAGAAGTTGGTCCTTGACTTTAAAATGAACTCCCTCTCTGTCTCCATTTCCTAGGAATACCCATTACCCTTGTATAGAGCCACCCTCCCTTCCCGCCTGTCTCTTTATGCTAGCCTCCAATACCTTGAGCAGTATCTAATTGGGAAACCACTGGGCAGCAAGCATGGGAAGCAGGCAGGGTATCTTCATTCTCCTAATTCTATTTCCAAATCCCCAGTATTATCTCAGCGCCACATCAGATCACTCGCAGAAATCTGTCATCCATTTCCGCCTCCATAACCTGTGAATTCTGCTTTACTTAACCAGCTTTCTTCCTTCGTGTGGATCATTTCAGAGCCCACTTCAAGCTCATCCCCATTCTTTCTTGCCATCACTAAATACCTAGAAATACTGCCTAACCAACATGAGATCCACAATGGCCAGAAATGACAGAAACACAGAAGCATTTCCTATGAGGCAACTCACACCTTCCACACTCTCCTAAGATCCAGAAACCAAGGAATGGTGTGCCTACTCCAAATATTTACTCTCTCACAGTGATGGTAGCTTTCTTATGTTATAGATCATAATAAAGGTCATTCATCCAAAAACTAAACAGAGAAATACAAAGCTAAATGATGTTATAGACCAAAAAGACATAACCAATCTTATATAATGTTTCACAAGAACTAAAAGAATATATTTTCATGTCAACAGTTCTCGTCAGGAAATTTTTCCTGAATTGACTCCATGCTCAGGCACAAAGCTTCAGCATATACAAGAAAATTGATATGACAGATTACATTCTATCTGAGTTCTATGGATCAGAGCTGGCTATCAACAACAATACATGAAGTTTACATACTCATGAAAATAAAGCAATTCACTACTGAATGAAAAATTGCTCAAGACAGAAATTAAGAAGGAAACTAAAGACTGTAGAAGTGAGTGAAGATGATAACGCAAAGTACCCAAACTTATGGAACACAATGAAGGTGGACAAAATCAAAAAAAGTGAATGGTAGCTCATGCTGGTGCGGATGTGGAGTAAAGTGAGAACTCATCCACTGTTAGTAGGTGTAAATCTGTACCTTCACTATGAAAATTAATGTGGCAGTTACTCATAAACCTGGGACTAAATATACAATGAAATCCAGCTACACCGAAAGGACCTACATTCTACTACAGAGACACTTTCACATCCATGTTCATTGTCACTTCATTAATAAAAGCCAGAAATTTAAAAAAGCTGATATGTTCTCAAAAGGTAGATACATAATGACAAAATGGTACCTATACACAACAGAATATTACTAAGCCTTTAAAAACATCATATATTCAGGTAAGTGAATAGAGCTAGAACAAATTCTGAGGGAGGTAATCTAGACTCCAAAAGACAACTATGATATGTATTCTCTTATATATGGATATTAGCTGTTTAGTCATAAAATAATAAGCTACAATCCATAAATCCACAGAGGTCACATATTGAGTATGGGATTAAGGCAGAGGGAAGAATTTTATGAAAAAGCAAATAGAATATAATTTAGAGAGGTGGTGGCAGGGAACCTGGAACAGAAGAAGAATAAAACTGAGGCGAGGTAAGAACAAGTAATCGATGAATTATAAGTAGGCATAGCTAAAACTAAGGATCATTTGAGAATTTGAGAAGTCATATCGAAGCTTCTTTAAGGATAAATATATATGAAAGAAATCTAAATGTAATTGTTTCATAATGGTGGACACAAAGCGCTAATTCAACATCTTTCTCGCCAAATGAAACTCTGTGTCCTCTAGTTGATTTGTTGTCCAAAAGATGCCACAGGGAAAACCCAAACAATCCTGTATCACCAAGGCTATTGGCTGCTCTCTATTGAAAAAGACAATGCCTATATAACTCATTGAACATGGAGAAGTCAAACTAGTGCATACCTCTAGGCTTCATGTCTAGTTATTAGTGTCTATGGTACTGGAAGGTATGTTTCATGCTACTAATAAAGCAAACTAAATACCAACCCAGTTATCAACCCTTTGATCTACAATGGCAATATACTTTAAATTCTCTGGTGCAATGATGGCACATCAATTTTGGGAGTACCCAAACACTATCTGATTAAATTAAAGATCCACTCCATAAAATGGAAATTATGGCCATGCTGCTGCGGTTTCTAAGAATCTGAGACTAGAAAGGCCATGGGCCTATGGGAAAACCAAATACTACTGTTCTCCTGAGAGATCATAGCAACACAATGACTCCTAATGACATTCTGCAATACCTTAGGGCATTTTCATGCTGAGCTATTATTAGAGATGCTTCCTCCTGAAGTACCTGGTACAATACACAGACTCTCAACTGGATAGTGTGCATAGTAAGAGACCTTGCAACATGTGTGTGTGTGTATATATATATATATATATATATATATGTGTATATATATATATATATATATATATATATATATATATGCCAGAGGAAATGAAGGGCATGAAAAGAAAAAAGATCTTATAAACACAACCGGACTGATGCACATATGAACTCAAGAGACTGTGATAGCATCCTCAGGTTATGCACAGGTCTGAGTCAGATGGGTTCCAGTGCTGAGAGGAAAGTAAAAAGAAGCTCCCACCCCTAGCCTAGAAGCTACGTCCAATCAATAACCACTTACAAATGAAAAATTACTTTTTTCAAGGAATTCTCACTGAATATACAAACCAGCCATAGGGTTAGGCCATCAGTAGATGGCCAATACAAAATGAACTCAATATTACTTTTGGAGATGTCTGATTGTTTATTTGGTTGGTTGGCTAGTTAGTTTTTGTGTCTCCTAATGCTTTGACTACGTTTTCTTTTTAATATTACAGTTATTTTGCTAATATATAATGGTTTTGATTTTGTTTGTATAAGATTTCTGTCAGAGACACAAAAGTTTGTATCACTGAGTATGCATGTTTTTTGTCCTTTTGCTTTGACTCTATTTTACCTGTTGTTTCTTTGTTTTGTGCTATTTCTTCTTTGTTTCATTTTATTTTATTTAGATATCTGTTTTTTTCTCTAATGAAAAGAAAGGATTTGGATGGGTGGAGAGGTTGGGAAGATCTTGGAAGAGTTAGGAAAGCAGAAACTGTAATTAGCATAAATTATATGAAAATAAATCCATTTTCAATAAAAAAGTAAAAAAAAGAGTGAAGAGAAGAAAGAGAAGGAAGAAGAGTTTGAGGAAAAGAAAGAAGTTGTGAGGGAGAATGAATTTAATCAGAATTGATTAGAATGGATGAAATCATATTTTAATGTATATATGTATGTGTTTCCGAATGAATAAACCTTTTTAAAAAATAATGATCAACCTCTAGTTAATTTTTATACAATTTACGTTATTTTTCATAAATAAAACTTGGGTTTTTAATCATTGTTTTTGTTTATAATGACATTTTATTATTATCTGAAACATCAAAGCATAATTTTTAATTACTGAAATCAATGTTTCAAACATTTAAAATTGAAATAAAAGGATACAATATTAGTTGAAGATAATTGAGGAATATATTAGAAATATCGAATTATGAATTATCCTGACTCACATTGTGACTTTCACATTAACATTGAATGAATCTTCACATTGCGCTAATTGAATAAACCCCAACAATTAAACAGAAGTAGATAAAAGAGAGATGAAACTACTTGTGGGTTTATAGAGATTTGTTTACTTTTATTTTATATTTTTATTTGTTTTGCTTGCATGTATGCACTGAGTACATGCAAGGTGTCCTTGGAGTCCAGAATAGGGTATTGGACTCCCAGGAACTGGACTTAAAGATGGTTGTGATCCATCATGTGGGTGCGGATCTAGAACCTGGGTTCTCTGGAAGAACATTCAGCATTATTAACTGCTGAAACCTCTCTTCAGTTCCACAACTATTTGTTTTATCTACTTGTAGCATTCATGAAAAATATGATACAGGGGCACAGTGAAGGAAAGCATTTTAGGCATTCCTGATATGTTCTAATATAGTTCAGTAGGTATAACCATAGACTCACATGCTCTGGTGTTAATAAATAGAAAACACCATGTATCTTTTGTTGATAAGTTTGTTATATAAATAATATAATAGTTTTATATTAATAAACCTGTTTTTGAAATTTAACTTACCAGTTATACACACTGTAAAATAAAGTTTCATAACAGAATGTTCTTTTTAAAAACTGTGCATTATAAGCCGGGCAGTGGTGGCGCACACCTTTAATCCCAGCACTGGGGAGGCAGAGGCAGGCGGATCTCTGTGAGTTCGAGGCCAGCCTGGTCTACAAGAGCTAGTTCCAGGACAGGCTCCAAAACCATACAGTAACCCTGTCTCGAAAAACCAAAAAAAAAACTGTGCATTATTAGTATGTGACCATGCTTTTGTGTGTGTGTGCATGTGTTTGTGGCTGAGTGTTTGAATATGTGCTATATAACACAAGGATGGAGGTCAGCGGTCAAAATTGTGGACTCAATTTTTATTCTGTCTACCTTTAATTGGGTCCAGGGGATTGAATTCATGTCACCAGGAATGTATAACAAGTAGTACTACTCCATGAGCCAGCTCACACACCCATATCCTTCTGTTCTAAATGATATACTTACTTGAAGATGATTTAGGCTTATCTAAACAGAAAAAAGCATGAGTGAGAATTTTCTATTATATATGCACATATATATATATAATGTTAACTATACTTTCTATTTTACTTTTATAAATGGGATAAATTAAGTATATATTAAAGTAAGTAAAAGAGTAATATTTCATAAGTCTTTAAAATATTTTCTAAAATGTTTTAATAGATCAGCTATAAAATTTGGGAGTGCTGAACTTCTTAGTTTTCTCTTCATCTGCAAAATTTTAACTTTTATTGGATAAGACAATAGGCATTTAAAATAATCTGAATGTCTACCTACTTATTATTGCCACAGAATAATGTTTCCACTGTCCTTTCTGGGAATGCATAAATATTCAATTAATAATTTGAATTCACAAGAATGTGATTGAAAAGTGATATAAAATTCAGGAAAATATACATTTGTATAGTACATGAAAATCTACACTTTATAAGTACATTTCCTCTTTATCCAATGAAGTATGCCTTCTGGAATTATTAATTAATTTATTATTCAGTCTTAAATATAAGCTTTCTTCATTCAAAAACAAATATTTCATTATAATTTGGCATAGTTTTGAATTGTGATTGAATATATAAAGAAAAGAAGACAAAAGATTATTTTTTTTTTCGGTTAGAACACTTTGTTACAGTACATAAGCCATACAAAGAACCTCATATCATGAAACTTAGTAATATTATAAAATTTGTAGAGCTAATTGTTACAGATTTTAATAAATATATTTCAAGAAAATATTTTTGCTGAAGTTCACAATCAGTCAAATTTAACAAGTGTAATTTTCAATAATATTTTTAAGCCATATAAAGGCATACCAAACAATGAGTATGATAAATGGCAGTAATAGCAATCTTGCTAAATAGCTAATATTATGGAAAGAATTTGTAAGTCATGAAAGCAAATTCAGTTTGCTAGCTTCTCTGTATTATGCAGCATGCTTTGACAATCTTTTTTATTACCTCTGAAACCACAGCTAGTGTCAGAGAAGACAGATTATAGTACAAAACACAAAGCTAAACAGTACTGATAAATAAAACGAAAAGTGCCTTCTTTTTTTTTTTTTTTTTTTTTTTTTTTAGTGCTCACATTTAATGAACATGATGAACAAAGACAGCATGGAAGCCAAAAAGGCCAAGAATACCTGTTGTCATAGACTGACGATCTTTTTCTTGAGGTTCGGCTTTTTCTAGAGGGGAAAATGAAGAATCACAGGAGATGTGAATATTTTTGGAGCAGGGAGTGTGACACATTTCATCTTGGCAGACGACCCTCACTTGCACAGGAAGCATATTCCTAAAGCCATTTCTCTGCAACTTGTAACACAGAGAGTCTATTACCAAAGAATATATTATAAACAGGGTTAGATTCATTGTCAAGTGACCCTGAAAATGTGCTCTCCCAACACCTAAGGGCAGTGCCAGGTGTTCAGTCTCTTGTTGTCCTGTGACTTAAAAAGGAAAGAGATGCAACATGTCAAATAAAACAATTTGAAGAAGCTGCTTTGTTAGTGAAGGTGTCCCTGTCTTGTGGCAAAGGGCAGTCTTTTCCTCCTCCTCTGACATTGCTGCCTCCAAGTTTCCTTCTTCCCATGTCAGAAACAATTTAATTCTGGACATTGACTCTCGTCTTACTTAAAATTCATGATAGGTATGCCTTACCCTACAGTGTACCACAATTCATACCCTACACATCACCTACCCTCCAGATCCAGCCAGAAGCATCAATGCTTAAACCCAACCGGTTCCAGGATGTGGCAAATGGAAACCAAATTGGTGAGCAACAAACACCTTTCTAAGCCCTCTCAAAATATCCCAAGAAACAATTATTTTTAAAAACTATCTCTTTCCCACCAAACGCAGTGTTTTAAAGTCCCACATGGTGGTATTTTAAAGGGAAGTGGGTTTATTTGGAAACTGAGCAAAAACTAGAGCGGGACACACTAATGACCTCCAGAGCTGTATTGGGGTGGTCCCAGTATGTGTCTGTCTTTCCTTTCCTTTGCTCTTTCCCTTAGAAATTCTCTTTAACTACTGATATTTTTCTTCAACATCACATACCAGCCATTGAAGTAAATAGAAATATGTGAGAAGTGAAACCACCTGAGAATAAATTGTGAACTAAACTTGAAATCTCTCCAGAATAGAGTTCCATTAACTGTATTTACCTGAATGGTAAATGCTATAAACTTGTACAAAATAACAAGTAGACACCAACATTCCAATATAAAATAAAATGAGAACATTACAAAAGTTAAATAAAATAACAATTATAGCATAGATACACACACACACAAAAACACACACACCCATCTGAAATACCTGTCAAGTGTTAGTGTACCTTTTTGTCAAGTGTAAATTTGCATTCTAATTAGGCTCCGTAAATCTACACTCCATCTCCTGAACCACCAATATGACATCCTTTCTTCTTGTTCACAGTTGTCTTTAGATCTTATCATTTAATTTTTACTCAGTGGTTAAACAGATTGTGTTCTACAAAGATATCTCCCTGCAGAAGCAGAATGATAATTTTGACACATTATTAGACTTATTTCACTTCTGTGAACAAGGGTTTTTTTTTAATGTTCACAACCTCCTGAATCCATCAGCATTTCTTGAAGAATTCATCATTAAAATCTATGTATAAGGAAATGATCTTTGCAGTTCAACTCAAGGAAATTTTACAGTTTTACCATCTGAGTAGATAAGTGGCAAATGTTTATAAATTTTTGGTTTTCTAAATACCAAATCTGTAAGGTAGCTTGAAAATAAAATTTAATACTAAGTATTGTTAATAGCATAATTACTCATTTAATTTCCCCTTGCTATAAACTATGTAAATTTACATGATTTGCTACCTACTTTTTGTTGTTGGTATTTAATTACCTGTATGGACTTACCTTTTTAATATTAATAATACTTATAGACCTTCCAGACATTTCTTCCACACAAATATCATGAATCATTAATTAATATTGAACCACAAGGAGTTAAATCAAAGCCATGAAATAACATCAATTTATCACATGTAGAAATTTAGTTATAGTCTATACTAAAAACAAATAAAAATGAGCAAATTGTTAAAATTGAAGTTAGTAGGCTATTTTATTTGATGATTAAGGGCTTCACTTTGGAGGACAAGGCAAAATAGACAGCACACTGATGAGTACTAGCCACAGAAAAAATAGAAAAATATTTCATTCATACCCATATGTATTTGTTCTTGGCTCAGATTATTTTCTCAGCTTAAAGCAAGCCTGCTTTTTTTTCCTGAGCACTATTATGTTAAAATAACAAATATAATTATGCATATTGCTTAGTGAAAAGCTGACTAAAGATATGAAATGCACATAAATTTACAACAATCTCTGTATTTGGAATACAAATATGCCAAGATAGTTTTTTATATCTTTAAATATCAACAATGGGCTGAGGTACTCCAGGCTTGAAGGATGTCTCAATATGGCACTATGAAGATTAAAGGAACATTTATTGGTGTTAAAAATTAACTCAATGGATGAAGAAAGAGAAAAATGGTCATATTTAATAAAGTGAAGTTGTCTTGGGATAGCCTATAATTTGTATGAGTTATTTTCCCTTGAATACTATTTTATTTCACAAAATATTTTAATCTTATTATCTCAGTTCAAAAAAAAAGAATGCTTCATAGATTGTTTGTGTTAGAAAAATTAAGCGCAATAAAATGTGGATCACTGAATAATCAAAGAGATGAGATTTCATCTAAGAGTCAAAGAAAGAGGGTAAGAGGGTCAAGACATCAGCTTAGAGCAAGACTCAAAAGTTTCCTTTGTCTTCTTGGGAAAGTCTCCAAAATTGAAGAGTGTGAATCCTTTTTCCTACCCATGAAATGATGGAGGTGTGTTCTACTGATCTTAAGGCAAATCTTTAAATAAACATAAACACACAACTCTTTGAGGAATGAACAGAATCATATGAGCTAATTTATAAGCAGACAAAGCTTCAAATTCTGTGATTTTAATTTATTTTAAAATTGTATTGTTGTTTGTGCTTATTCTTACTCTGTGTGTATCTCACTTGCATATGCACACATAGACTCTTTCACACACACATATACATAAAAACTGAGAAATAGAAATAAAGATAGATAGATGATAGATAGATGGATGGATAGATAGATAGATAGACAGATGATTGAAAGATGATAGATAGAGATCAGATGTTCAGATGTCTCCATTGTGAAGATCAGAGAACAACTTTGGAAGCCAATTCTCTCATTTTATGGGATTTGTGAATTAAGTTTAGGACATCTCACTTGTATACCAAGAATGTTTACTTGTTGGTTATCTCGCTTATCTAGATTTCTGCAATTTTAAGATTTGAGAAAATGTGATTTGACAATAAGATGAAAGATCAAATCAGAATACATGATGTTTAATATTTTAAATTGATCTCCTAAGAAATTATATATAATTTTGCCAATTACACTCTAAAAAATCACTTTAGTTTCTACTACCTCCAATGAAAATTATTTAGAAATTATCCACAATAACTCATAATTTTACAATTTATGGCTTTAAATGTATACATGACTCACCCACGATAATTTAGACTTACAAGAACTGAAAAATGACAAAACCAAAAGACATGCTAACATGTAAGGGAGGGAATCAATGGGGTTTCCACCCTAAAGTTAGAACTATTGGCGACTAATAAACTCTGAAAGGAGAATTAGTCTCTCTCAGTGATGAGCCTCCTATTGGCTATCCCATATCAAGCTATCAGCCCTAAATAAGCAACATTTAATAAAGTAAGCAGGTTGTATTTATCAATTTATGCATACATATGTTTGTGTGAAACAATAATAAAGGAAAATAGACCATGGATATGAAAGGTAAGGGGCACAGCAGAGGTAGGAGGAAGCGCAGGGATAGAGGAAATAATGCGATTACATTTTAATTAATTTTTAATTAAAAATTGTACATGCTTAATGCATACTTGTGCATATCTATGTGCACAAAACTGATCTAGAAAAGATTATAAAGGAATTTCTTTACCTGTCTTCTCTGCTGTGATAGCTTTTACCTGCTTGAGAACTTTTTGTTCTGTGGTAAGAAAAAGGATTAATACAAACAGAAGTTTCCAACATAGCAGTAAAACTCAATCAAGTATTCCAGCCTTCATAGTTTGTGTTTGTTTAGATAAAAAATTAAAAAAGTTAGATTTTCAATGAAACAGCTAATTACAAGTTCTTTTAGATTGAATGAAACCACAAGGAGAATGTCCCGGAAGAGGTCTATCTGCCCAGTAACTCTCTTGGTGAATTTTGGCAAACTTAATTTGTCTCTGATCCTGTGCATATTAACCTTTCCCTAAAGGACAATGCTTAGAAGACTGTATTGTCCAGGATTAAAGGACAACATTTGGAAGACTGTCTTGTTGGAAAAGACAAGTTGGAAAAGGTAAGTCCCCATGCGGGGTCCATTTATCTGGGGGCTGAGTGGGATTCTGTTTGCAGTAAGCCCAGGTCTGTTGGGCAGGGGAAGCAGGCTGCCTACTTGAACCCTACTGTTACACTCTCTGTTCAGCCTATGTTTGAAGGATGACTAAGAAATGCTCTCTAGAAGCTGATTGCTTAAGGCATGTGTTACTACAAGTGGCTTTGGATCTGACTCTTCCTTTTGATATAGATAGAACAGTGGGAGACATTGGATGCCACAGTTTGGGAAATACCTGGTGTAGCATGAGGAACGACTTGCTCTGGTTTGGAATTGCCCTGTTCTGAAAGTCATAAAAATGATATGTCAGACATTTTAAAGTTTTCTAGTATGGCACACAACGAATATTCTGTATGACTTGGGCCAATGGCTTTTAAAATTGAAAATAGCAATTATTCCAATAAGGAGAATTATTTTGAAACTTCTGGGCTATCCCATTTCATATCAAAATGCTGAAGGATTTGTTTTGAGAAAAACAGTACATGCATACAAAACCTTTTCTTTACATAACACCTGTAATTTTCAAATCACAGGCTTTTTCAAAGTATAAATGTAGAAGCATAGATTAAAGTTTACAGTTCTGGAAATGGAAAATGCTCTTTAAAAAGATTATATAAGAGCATTACAGAAGAAGCAGATATACATACTGTGTGTTTGAGCTTTGTCAGGTGGAGCTGAAAGAATAAAATTTTAATAAATTATCTGACAAATACAATGTTTTAAAACAACTAATATTAAGTTTTAAGTGGTATTAAGTATAACTAGCTTTAAAAGTCTCTTAATTTTTAATGCTGTACCAGTGATGTGTTTCAACAGTTATGTATTGGTTCATCAGGTTTGGACTTGCCACCAAACCTTGTTGATGACTTAAACTTCCTCCCCAAAACTCACAATGTAGAAAAAATAAGCCTATTTCCAGAAGTTAGCCTCTGATCTCAATTTCCACACCTTGGCATGAGTATATGCACACCACACACACACACACACACACACACACACACACACATACACACACACAACCAATGTAAAGAATTACTTGTAATTTTAAAATTAACACACTTTCTGGTAAAATGTGCTCACCTCTAATAAGCAAAAGACATGAGAAAAATCATAAAAAGGTATATAGACATTTATGTCTGATGTATGCACCCATAATATTATTTACAAGAGCCTCCAGATACAAGTTATGATTTATAGCTGCTGCATAAATTCTCATGAGGAGTGGAGGGGGATGGCTACACTGTACATGAAGCTAGATTTAGATTCTTAGATTAGTTGATAAATAAAGATTTTGCTACATCATTTCTCATAATAAAGGATGGCTTCCATAGAGCTTGAGGGCTTTCACAAACTTGCCTCAGGTCAGCAACCAGTTGGTACCAAACAAGGATTTAATCCTGACAGTATAAACTAAACGAGGTCATCTTGTTTTTCAGGTCAACCTCAGCTGTTAATAAAATGATACAGTTAGTCTGGGATGGTTTCTTAAGAAAATTACTCAGGGGAGTTGTAAAAAATGAGACAGGGTGCAGAATTTTAGCTCCAACATTTGTTAGCTTGAAAATACTGAAAAGCTACTTGTATGAATTTGGCCTTTTGAACCATCTCCAAAACTATTGCATAAGGATAGCACTTGCTGTGCTGTGTGCTTCCCTAATGAATAAAGTAAGAGTGGAGTGTCCATTTGTACTTCATAGGTGTCCTCTTGAGTACTAGCCATTGCTCTCCTCATTCCCAAAGATCCCATGACTTTGTGTTTGTGACTCTAGTAATAATTGATATAAATAAAGACAAAAAACAGATATGATCACACCTGATATCAAAACACTCAGAAGAATACATTCTAAATCTTGGAGTCATTTCTAAGTTAAGTAAAAATTAGTGAGACAACAAAGATGACCCTAAGAGAGACATACATAAATCTAATCTACATGATAAATAGAAATAAACAAGATCTCCTGAGAAAATTGGGAGCATGGGGATCATGGGAGAAGGCATAAGGGGAGGGCTGGGAAGGTAGGGGAGCAGAGAAAAATACATGGCTAAATATAAACAATTAAAAAAGGTAGTGGTCCTCAACCAGTGGGTCATTGACCCCTTTGGGTGGGGTCACATATCAGATATTTGCATATCATACATTTACATGATGATGAATAGCAGTAATACATTACAATTATTAAGTAGCAATAAAATAATTTTATGTTGGAGTCACTGCAACATGAAGAACTGTATTAATGGGTTATGGCATTAGGAAGGTTGAGAATCACTGATATAAAGCCATATTCTAGCCATATCTCACAAAATAGAAATCTGAATTTTACTAGAGTATTATGAAATATTATTAGACAATAGAAAGGGGGAAATCACAAGTAACTGAGAGACTGTGGAAATTCTGTTGGTAGTCAGTGAAAATTTCAGTTTTAGCATGTGGGAGGTATGACTTCTCATACTATTAACAATATTGTTACCTGGTTTTGCTTCCTTTTGAATTTGTGGCTCTGAAAGGAGAAAAAAAAACAAAAAAATTGACTTTAATGGAATAAACTAAAGCACAAATTTATCATTAAAAATATGTTGTGTTTATCTCCATAGACAGTGAAGAATTTTGCTAATTATTATTCCAGATCTTTGGTGCATTGTTAAGGAATGATTATTGAACACAGTAGATAGACTCCCACTATCTACTTGTCTGTCATTATGGTGTTTTTTAAAAGTATGTCTCAGGTGAACAGGTAGTTGAAAGTTTATTTAAACCTAAACTGTCTTCTTGGTTTCAAACTGCTTGTAAAAAGTAGTTCTAAACTAATATTAGATAAATCATTTCAACCACAAAATTAGAAGAGGTTGTCTGAAATGAATCTAATTGATATCTGTTTAATTTGGGAATTTAGACATATACTATTATGGCTTGAATGTATGCCTCCCAAATAGGTTGAGTCCTCAGCATCAATACCTGCAAAGTGACTTTATTTGGAAATTGGGTTAGTACAGGTGTAATGATTTAAGATGAGATGACACCTTGTTAGGATTGGGTGGCTCCTCATAAGAGGCAGAGAGGGAGAGGATGGACATGTGACAATGGAAGCAGAGATTGAAGTGATGATGAATTTAAATCTTAGGGAATATATGAATTAATTGTAACCACCAAAACTTAGATGAGCTAAGGAAGACATTTTGGTTAAGCTTGGAAAAGGAGTGTCATTCATCCTGTACAGTTGTGGTGGAACACACATGTTGTTTTAAGAAACAGCTTGGAGTACATTATTCCTTTCATAGAAACTCATAGATTGTATTGATATGTGAAATATTGCTATCACAAATGCAAATATGGGTGTAGACTGTGAATAACACAGTGGGGAGATATTGGAAAATTTGTGAAATGCATGAAAAGAGCCTGGATTCACTTGAAGAGATTACTATTTACATGGAACAGACACTAAAGACTGTTCTGAAGAAGTTAAGAAGGAAAGAGAATGAGATCAATCATGGCCTAATATACATCTACCACCCCATCAAGTTCAGAAGACTGAACAGAAACAGAGAGAATATTCTGAAGACTTGAAATTATCCAGGATTGAGAACTTGTTTACTTATAACATCCTTATTTTTACTTTTAAACTTTCCCCTTGGAATAAGAATGTGCACCTAATGGCTGTCTCACCGCTTTGTTTGTAATCAGATCATTCACTATGGACTCACAGGTAGAGAATATTTTCATCACATTATTCCACCCAAAGCTGATGTAGATCACCTAGAAATGGCATCAATATCTGGAATTGTTAGGTGTTTAACACATGGGATTAGTAGTAGATGTTGTAGTAATTAATATTAGACAATGTAGGTATGGTATCAGTGTATTTTGCACATAGGAAAGACATAAATTTTGGCAGGATAAAGTACAGATTTGAATGGAATACAGTATTTACTCCAAAAAGTATGTCCAAGTCCTTATCTGCAGGATCTCAGAATAATAGCCTATTGGAAATATGCTTCTTGCAGATGTAACTACTTAGGATGTAACAAAAGAGGTGGAGGTAGGTACCTCATCCACTGTGACTGGAGTTCTTAAGAGAAAACTCACTAAAACAAAACATGCTCATGGAAAAGATGGCCATGTAACCATGGAGACAGAAAGTAAGAGTAGTCTGTGCGCAAGAAAGGCACAGCTAGAATGCTGGTAAGCGTTAGCAGTCAAGAAAGGCAAGGATGGATTCTTTGTGGGTTTCAAAAAAAGACGTGGCTCAGCCAACTCATTGATTTTGGATTTGTAGCCTCCGGTAGCTGAAGGAATAAACATATATTATGAAGTCATCAGTTTTATTGAGCTCTATTCTACAGCACTAATATATTCATCAGCCATGAATCCAAATTTTAACAATTTTCACAGTTGTATGCTGTGAGTTCTTTTGAAAACGTTTCTGCTGCATACTTCCTGTTACAGAATTGACTGTCTAAGTCAGGAGGGTGGAAAGAGAAGTATGATGACAAATTTACCTGACAGGGATCTGTGTTCGTGAAATTTAGAGATGTGGATTGGCAAGAGTCAAGACAGGGGCCAATTGCTTTGTTTGAACCATAGAAACTTCTTGTAGTGTTTATATATACATACCATGTTTTTTTAGAAGTTGATATCTTAGATGAATTTAGAAAAAGCTTTGTTGTTTTATTTTTTCCTTCAATGAATAAATATTACATATTTGTAATTTTCAAGGTACATTTATGAGGTATAAATGGATACCTCAGGACTGCAACAATGTCAGAAGTATAGGTTCTCTTTAAAAATCAGTAGCATAGCAATCTTTCTATAAAGGCCTGCTGTTTTATTATTTTTATTTAAATGATTACTTATTTAATTACTTATTTATTTGTGTGGGGTGGCAATTGCTTGAATGACTGAGAAGTGGTGGAAGGAAAACGGGTCAGGAGGGAAGGATTATACAGAAACCACAATTGACCAGAATTTTACTTTATGTATGAGAATGTAGCTTCCCATAACATTTCAAAGAGATATGCTATTCATTATAAATATGGGATACATGTATGAATTTGTACATTCAAATACATACCTGACTTCTCTTCCTTTTTCACTTGCAGCTCTAAAAAATTAAATTATGATAATCAATATAATTGATCTCTTTTGTACACATGCATTTCTATTTTATAGTATCAATTATATTTTAATAAGAAACAGGCAAAGGACATTCCTTTCCAAACAAAACAATTTTTTTTAACAAAAAAATGTAAACACCAACTAAAACTCTTAGTGACAGTGTCAAGGATGGCTATATTTCCAGTGAATCAAAAATAAAGCAAAAGGAAAATTTCAGCATAGTATATATAGTTGGAGTCTATGCACAATGTATAGACAAAACTGTGAAGCAACAAGCTTTCACTTGAATATTTGAAATGGGCAAAGATGAATCTGTAAAAAAAACTTGCATCTAATATCTGTGGTTTTCTGCTAATTTATTCATTCATTAAGCATGCACATAACATACGTGGTGGTATGGGCTTCGCATCTTTGCCTGTGAAACATTGAAAGAAATTAAAGATGTCAGTCATGAAATGCTTATTGAATTGTTATCATTCGATATCATAGAATTTAGATGTATTTAAAAATAAAAACCAAATATAGATTTCAGCTACTCCTCTTTACTGAACATGTATAACATTTTTATTTATTGCTCATGATAAAGATGCTAATGGTGATTCATTTTAATTACAGAATTTTAGTGTGATTGCATTCATTGGTAAAGTTAGGATGCTCACCAATTCTTGTGCAGCATAACTTTGTCTATAAACTTAAGTACACACATTTAATTTTGACACCTATCAATTTTAGCTCATCATTGTGCTAGACGAATAATTGAAAGATTTTATAATTTTATTAGAATTATTAATATTATCTACTGAATTGGAAGCTCTGACTGAGTACAGACACATTTTTCCCAGCCTGAGCAGATAGTGCTGGGATTTACAATCTTCTGTAGAAAGTTGGGTAGTCTGAACCTCATGTTTTAGGTGATTATGTTCCACACATCTATAGTTTTAATAAAACATATTTTGGAGGAATATGTTAAATTATTAATGAAGCAATTTTATGCTCCATATTGATCTCAGACTTTCTAATCAGCTTCAAAATGATAAACACAGAAGTTATTCTACAGTGCCCAAGGCTCATTTTTTTTATTGAATTGTTTAAAATTTGAATTTAAAGTAAAAAAGGGAAAGTTCCATGTACAAGTAGAAAACAAATGTTCAGGAATTTATTTACCATACTCATAATTTGAATGATTACTTTTACTTGATTTAAAGAAAGAAAACAAGTTGGTTATCTCCAAAATTGGGGGATTATAATACTAAATTTTAAGATGATTTAGACAGTTATAGCACAATTACAGACTCATAAAATTCCTGACTATAATATCCTTTTATGCAAATAAAACATGTGGAGATTTTTCTCTGGCAGAATTGCTTGAGGAATCTTATATAAAGTATCATTAAATAAGTTAATTAACATTAAGTAAGAGATAATGGCTTAATATAAAATGAGTGGAATCTTAAAAATTTTATAGTACATAGTAAGAAATTTAAGATTAGATTGCAATCAATTATTTTGGTCTATAAAATAAAAACACCTGTTTGTGAATCGTCCAGGTTTCGTCAAGTGTTTGTGTGTTCATTGAGAAGCCTTATCAGGTCTGTGTCCAATTGTAAGGAATTCCAACTACAGTTCCCAGAGCAACCTCATTGTCTAGGAAACAGTCCTCACCCCACATCTGACATCTACTCCATAATAAACCTTTTTTTTTTGTTTGTTTGGTTGGTTGGTGTTTCAAGACAGGGATCTCTGTGTAACAACTCTGGCTGTCTAAAAACTTGCTTTGTAGACCAGGCTGGCCTCGAACTGCCTGCCTCTGCCTCCTGAGTGCTGTGGTTAAAGATGTGTGCCACCACTGCATGAATCATAAGAAACTTTTGAGATGTGCCCCAAAATTTGTCATTGAGGAGCTTTCTCATACGATTCTGAGGACCACTTAGATTGCAAACAGTTATACCAAAGAGGTTTTAACAGCATATGTGCTGGGTCTTGATATACTATGTCTTGATAGACGTATATGGCTGCACATTTGTAATTTGTTATTAATGACTGGTCTGAGCACATTGAAAGAGAACAAGGATGCCCTGATGAAGAAATCTCACCAGTAAATTGTAGTATCACATATGCCATTTATAGCCCTGATTTGATAAACTCACATATTCAGTTAAGATAACATTGATTGAGTCTAAATCTAAAAAAATATAAGAGAAGTCACAGATGAAAAAAAAAGGTTATCTTTTTATGATTATTACACACACAAACACAAATGTATATGTATAGTCTAAGTGGATACATTAGATAAAGTTAATGTTTAGGCAATAATGTAAATGAAATATGTAAAACATTTACTGGAGAAAAATCTGTAAGGCAGTAGTTCTCCAGCAATAGTAATATATTTGAAAGGAAGTTTGGGAATTGCTATTGTGTTTTGACAGTTTTACAGCTGAGGAGGAATTTTAATTTCTTTTTTTTTTTTTCTTGTCAGTTGTTTTCGGACCTTTGGGTGTTACCAGAACTAGTACATGTAAGTTCCAGTTCAATTTATCCAAGCATTGTATTTGAAATGGGTTCAGTCTCCATCAACAGTATTTTCCTTTCAAGTCCAGAAATCAACCAAGGACAATGGCAATAGCTTCTATTGTTTAGGAAGTCTCTTGAACTCCCTTGACCAAACTCAAATGAGGTTTCTCGTGTTTACCACCTGAGATTTTGCTAAATCGTTTATTGCTCTTGTGTGGAACATTATCACCTCAAGTAGCCTAACTTAAATTATTTTAATATATAAACATGTACACACACACACACACACACACACACACACATATATATGTGTGTGTGTGTTAAAATAGAATGTCCCTCTATGTATTTTTCCAATTATCCATGGATCCTTGGTGTTCTTTACGAGTCCTCTTTTCCTCTCCCCTTGCTAGATAAGGTACCATCCAGCTTTTATCACTTCTGCCTTCACAGCACCCGGGTCCTACTTTCCTTTTGCCACAGCTTGTTCTATTCCTACCCTAGTTCCTTTTGCCCTCCTGGTTTCTGTACTTACTCAAGATTCTATACTCATAAAAAATTTGGAGCTAGAATGGACAAATGATAGTGACTGTCTTTTCTGTTAGATGTAAGGGTGAGATTGTGGCACTTACATCTCAAGGGTAATCAAAGATACAACTCAAGACATACTCTATAGGAGCAAACTCATGCAGGGCACTGTACACCCAGTCAGCTTTACGAGAATAGTGAGGTGGCCCAGGCTGATCTTGAACTCACAGAGATTCTTTTACCTGCGTCTGCTTCCCAACTGCTGGGATTCAAGGCACGCACCACCATAACTAACTTAGAACTGAATTACTCTATGTTTTTATTTTTGAGGTTACAATTTAATCAAATTTCTCCCCTTCGTTTCCTTCTTCCAAATATTGCCATTTACCTTTCCTTTTTTCTTTTCACATTCACAGCCTCTTGTTTTCACTAGCTGTGGTCCAGTGCCAAATGGTTAGTTCTGAAGTGTGATTTTTATGTAATCACATGGGGCTGAACGGGTTATATTTAGGAATATATGTATATGCATATATGTATACTATAAAAATTAAAACTGAATTTTTAAAAGAATTTTCACTTCCTGTGATAGTAGATAAAAATATTTTGGGGTAGATAACAACTGAAAATGTGATGCATGGGTCCTCTGTTTCTGACAGCAGTAATATTGGAGAGGACAGTGTAAGATACCAGTAGAAAATTTGTTATCCAAAGCCTGTAACTGATATGTCTTTCATTTTTCACAACATAGGCATTGTGCCACATTGTCTAGATTCCTGTCACTTAGTTTAATGTCTTGAGACTGTACTGTCCTACAGTGAACGCCTATGAAATATTCTAGTCATTATGCACCCTACTGTTTGCACAGTCTCAGATATGACCTAATCTTTTGCCTCAAATCAGTTGTGTGAACACTTTCTATCCTGTGATTTACTCTTCAATGAACTGGAGATGATCTAAAAATAATTAGTAGCATATAATTTATTTAAACAAGGATTAAATATAATAAATTAGAGGAAGTTCATAAAGTACCAATTAACCAAAGGTACCCAAACCATTTATCAAAGTACAGACAAAGATTAGCATTGTTATAACACCATAGTTACATTCTCATCTACATGCCCAGCAAGGCTTAGCATTGGTATAATACCCTATTTACTCATAGATGTATCTACATCCCCAAGAAGGCTTAGCATTGGTCTAACACCATAGTTTCTCACATTCTCAACTACATCCCCAACAAGGCTTAGCATTGGTATGATGCCATAGTTACTCATGTTCTCATCTGCATCTCCAGCAAGGCTTAGCATTGGTATGACACTACAGTTACTCATAGACTCACCTAAATCCATAGCAAGCACTGTCAACTCTTAGTCCTTTCTAAGAATTCTACGATTCTAACAACATCAGCCTCTCACACTAATTTATCTACAGAAACAAAATCCTTATGTATGAGTTTAGTCTCAGTCACTTAGAGAAAAGATTTCATTGAAATTTTATGCTGTACATTATTATTTTCAAAGAGCTTAACAAAAGAGTATCTACTCCAGATATCATGCAAATCATTTGAAAATGTAAGGTAGATGAGAACATAAAGAGAAGACAGTTTTATTTCCAATTGATCCAGATATATAAAAATCTAATGACACGAAATTTAATTCTCCTAAAATTTGCAATGTCTCTCATTAACGCACAAGTTGGTCCGGAATCGGAAACCTTTGGAATAGAAATGATTTTTTGGCAAGTGGTGTGTCTACAAAGCTGTGTTTTTCTTTCAGTACAGAACAACCAGCCACTAACTTTTTAAATGGCAAGTTACAAAGCCAGCTATGTTTAATTTTACCACACTGAAAGAGCTCCAACACACCATACTTAATTAGCTTTCAAACTGAGTTGAAAATGGGAAAAATGAATTTTAGTGAATTGTGTTAAGCAGTTGACCTTTTAAAAATC